GCTGTGCGCCGCCGCTGCATTATTTTTCAATTACTGTTTAAAGTACGGCGGAGCCGTCCCCTGACCTTTGTCGACGCCATTTTCGGGTCGGTTCCCGATGGGAGGTTTAGAACCGAGCGTTGCTCCCCGAGGAGAAAGCATTTAAAATGCTTTCTCCTCGGGGAGCAGGAAAATGCTGCATTTTCCTGCGCGCTTCCGTGTACAGGTGTCGCCCGCCCCATCTAGATCGGTCAGCATCATTCCCGTCTTCGCCTCACGCTCGCTGACGACTTCGCTCACGGTGTGATCTGCTACACGCAGGTATCACATTGGCGAGCGTCCAGAGGCAGCGGTTTGCAAGAGCCCTGCGCCCAGAAGAGTGGTCGGCCTCCGTGGCACATGGCCACGCCAACCCTTCTCCTGGTGCCAGGGGCGCGCGACGGCGTCATGCACGGTGTAGGTTGGGCGCCGTGTGCAGCCAGCCATCCATCCGTCGTGCGCGGGCAGGACGGCAACAGCGCGTGCCCTGTTCTTGGTGCCTGCTGCTCCAGCCTCTGCCTCTAAGTTGCACCAGGCACCAGCCTCTGATGTTCAAAGTTCACCAGCTGTTGCTGTCCCGATGCCGCTGCAGAGACAGCGCTCGCTTGAGCACTGCGGTGGTCCGGGCGGGACCTGCAAGTCGTGGGGCGCTGCAGTGGGTCGACGTCTGTCCCCACCCGTTTTCCTGGCTTCGCCGCTGCAGCTTCCATGGCGAGTGCAGGCCTGGAGAGACCGTCGAAGACGCCTACGGCGAACCGCCGCCGCCCCTTGCCCTTGTGGACGTGCCGATGTGGCCGAGTTTTGTGCCAAGAGCTTGGACAAGCTGTCGGACCATGTGTTCCCCGAGCAGTTGTGGAAACGCTTGGGGCAACTCTTGAGTGAAAAAAGGAAGAGGAAGAGAGAGGGAGGAACATTTAATTACGAGGAGGAGAGAGCCTTTGGGGAGCCTCCTGGGGCACGCTTGGGGCCTCCTGTGAGCTCCCTGAGGGCCTCTTGGAACCCTCTTGGGGGCCTCCTTAAGCCTCTTGGGAGCCGTTGGGGGCTTCTTGGGGGCCTGTTTCGCCGTCTTAGGGGTGTTCCTGGCCAGTCTGACGCCGTTGACCATATGTGGGTCTCTCTGAACTGATTTTGGTGGCATCCTGGGACGCTCCAGGGCGGGCGATCTTGAGGACCTCTTTGGCTGTATTGAGCCGTCGGAAGGCCGAAAAGAAGCAAATGCCCAAATCCTTCAGACATCTCTCTGGGGAATCAATGATTGGGCATTGCTCGAACCTTCCTGGAGCGCCTCTTGGAGGCCTCTTGGGCTGAATTGGAGGCCTCTTAGGTGCTTCTTGGACCGTCTGGAGCAGTCTTGAGGCCATCTTGGGCCATCCCATCTTGGGTGCGTCTTGGGCCGTTTTAGATACATCTTGGAACCGTGTTGGAAGGAAAAACCCACGACTCGCCTAATGTCCCAGGCTTTCGGCGGCGTTCCAGGTGGCTGGCGGGTTGTGCCGAGACCCCACTGGGAGCTCCTCGGAAAACGCAGAACCCATCAGAAGTTCGGAACGCCATGCCTCCCTGTGATTAATCAACAGGGGGCGGCGGACCTACTGGCTTGCTGCCCATCCCTCCCGCCAAGGTGCCTGGGCGATCTTCCGCCCACTTGAAGACCTTGTGGACCGTCTCGGAGGCCTGTCGGGGCCCTGTTGGCCCGTTTTGGGGTGCTCTTGCCCCTGAAGAAGCCATGCGGGAAGCGCCGGGGAACCGCGGGAGGCACGCCCGGAGCCAGAGAGATTGAGGAATTTTGGGGCCGGGCCTCTCCATTAGCCAATTTTGAGGACTACAGTCGGCCTGGATTAGTAGGTCGACCCTGCTAGCTCAAGGGTATCCTTGTGTCCTGTGCCTCGCGACACGTGCCTCTTACACTCCTATTGCGATGTGGCCCTCGGAAGGGTCTTGTGTCCACTCGCGTGTCCTGTCCAATCAAGGCCGACTGTAACGACTGTGGACTACAAGGGGCAGCAGGGCATTCCAACTCGTGCCTCGCGGCACGGTGGAGGATCATCGGCCACCAGGCGAATCTTGCCAGGACGCGAAGACCAGCCGATGGTCCGATGCTTCGGGCGTGCTGAGCGTGGCTTAATTCAGCAGTGGTTTGAATGGCTAGGGGCACGAGTTATAGAGTTTTGCGAAGCGTTTATTGGCCTCGCATGTCGGTGCATCTATGCTCAATTACGTGCCGCTTGCCGCGACGCCTTACAGGCGTGGCTCTTGTACATACGGGGCGAGTGGTATAGATCACGTATAAGCAGCGCATCCGATGTTGTACACGGCCTCTGGCCAAAGGGCCTCGGAGGACAAGCCATGCTGCGTAGTTACATGTATTCACGCTTCGCGTATTCCCACCAGCCCATTCAGAAACGTTGCCCATGAGAGTTGACGGGAAATGGGAGGAAGATGTACGTATAGTAAATTCAAGCGGGCAGCCATGGCGAATTACGAACGCGGAGGAAGAGGGGGAGGAGGAGGATATTAACGACGACGAGAGGACGTGGAGGAGGCAGAGGAGGAGGAGGAGGAGGACGAGGAGGAGTAGAAGAAGAAGAACAACAAGGAAGAAGATAAGGACAAGGACGACGAAGACGGCGAGGGCAAGGACGAAGGGAGGGAGGAGGAGGAGGAGGAGGAGGAGGAGGAAGACAACGACGACGACGACGACGAGGAGGAGGAGGAGGAGGAGGAGGGCGAGGAAGAGGACGAGAACGAAACGGATGCCGAGAAGGTGGACGAGGAGGTAGAGGAGGAGAAGGACTGGGCGAGGAGGAAGAGGACACTCAGGGCATTGATGATTCGACAGCTCGTCTGGTCACGAGCCGCCCTGGCGCGCTGGCCGAGCGCTCACACCGACGGTGAGCAGAAAGCCAAGCCCAATGGCCTAGCAGGAAAGGCAGGCTGCCCGCTACGACCCTTGCTGTCTGAGGCCAGCAGGAGCATTGGCAGGCAGCCCAAGCCACCGCACGAGCCCCATGGCTCTGCGGACGATCAAGTTGTTCGAGCGGCGCCCAGCAGCGGCAAACCACCGCAGGCGGAAAACCAGGGACGGCCCCGAAACCGAAGGGCCGCACAGGCGACGAGGAGCCCAGGCCCCAGACGAACACGCCACGGCAAAAGCCCTCAGACCAGGGAGGCGTCCTCTTTCTTTCTTCTTGATGTGCTCCTGAACGGCACACCTCCAGTCAGGACCAAAACGCGTGAGGGCCAGCTTCTCCAGATCTGCAGTGGAGACCTCCGCCCCAAACTCCTTCTGGTCGCTGGTATCCTTGTCCTTCTTCTTCTTCTTCTTCTTCTCCTTCTTTTTCTTTGTAAGGTCCACCTCGTTATCGAGGAAGCTGTCGGAGTCCTCGGCGACGCCCTCGATGACAGGGTCCCCGACGAAGAACTCCTCAACCTGCACTTTGCCTTCCTCTCCTTCACCTCCTGACTCCAATGCCACTGGCGAGACGAGCTGAGGGAAGCTCGGCACCATAGGCAAATCCACCTCCCCAGGATACGGCCTGGGGTCCTTCTGGTCACACATCTGGCTCAGTTCTAGCCCACCTGCTGCACGTTCCTGGCCAGACGCCTCCTTGACTCGAACAGCTTCCTGGCCAACATGCGGCGCGCCTTCAACACCGAGTCCTCGCTCCCCTCCAGCACCCCCTGCACCTCCTCGGAGCTCTGCGAGCGCACCGGTGGCGCCGGCGGCGTAGGCGGCGACGGCCTCGCCCTCGCATTCGCCTTCGCCTGGTGCCGCGCCTTGAACGCCAGGAACCTCCGCTGGCTACGGCAGAGACCCAGCACAGGTGGCCCCAGCAGGGGGGGCCCACGGAGGCGCTGGACCTCGCCTGCACCGCCAGGCGCCGCGCCCTTGACGAGGTGGCCGAGTGGGGGATCCCAGCACGCGCTTCTCCGTGCGCGACTTCTCCACCGCCTTCGAGTACAGGAAGTTCGTGCTCTCCTTGCACGGCTTGGACAGCGGCCCGTAGCCCAGGTCGGTAGCCCAGCCCCGGTGCCGCCAGCGAAGTCGACGTCGACGCCGTCTCCCGCACTCGGGCCTTCGCCGCCCGCAGGTCCGCAGGCCACGGGCGGATGCTCGCCGCCTTGGACTTGGACGCCATCGAACAGCTGGATCTCCACGGCGCCGAACTCGACCTGCTCCACGAACTGGCGCGTCGCGCACGCCAGACTGAAGACCACCTCCTCCTCCGCCAGCACCTGGCATGGCGGAAGGAAGCGGAGGAGCACCAGCGCCTGGCTCGCGGGCGCTGCGCCGCTCCCAATCGCGCGCCCGTCTGCTCGGGGGCCCCGCAGCCCGAGAGGAACGGCTGCGAGGAGGACGAGGACGAAGAGGACGAAGGCGAGAACTCTGGCAACCACCTGTGGGTTTTCTTGGGGCCCTCTTGGGATCCTCTTGGGGCTTTCTCGGTGCCCTCTTCGGGCCCTCATTGGGTTCTTTAGGGTGGTCTTGGGGTTCTCTGGGGGCCCTCTTGGGGCTTCCTTGGGGCCCTCTTGGGAGCCCTGGAGGGCCTCTTGAGGCCATCTTGGACGCTATCGATCAAAGGGGGGGGTCCTAAATGTCCGTCCCAAAGCCCGTGGGGCCATCAAAATCGCCTCGTGAGGCGCTGTTGGGTCATGTTGGGGCTATCTTGAGGCCTCGGAAGGACTGGGCCTCCTGGTGGGAGACTCCGGGAGCACTTGGGGCCGTCCTGCGGTTCTCTTGGGCCCTCTCGGAGGCATGCCCGAAGCTATCTTGAACCATGTTGGACCACCTTGAGCCATTTGGGAGGCCATGCTGGAGCATTGGGCGCCCTTTTGGAACCATCGTGGGCGAAAGAGGACCCTCTGACACCTCGCGACCTCCCCCCTGTCCAGACCCGGGGGAGGGGGGAGGGGGAGGGGCAAACCCTTCCCCGAGGGGGAAGAAGGGGAGTGGAAGAGGAAACGCTCTACACCACCAGAGG